ACTGTGTGACTGAACCTCTATTAGCTTCTTCATGCATAAAATGAGAATAATACGATTGGGCCAGATGTGGTGGTTCATACTTGTAATTCCAACATTTTGGGAGGCTGGGATAGGACGATTGCTTGAAGCCAGGAGTTCAAGACCAGCCTGGGTAACATAGTGAGATCTTTTCTCTTCAAAAAAAATTTTTTGTTTTAATTAGCCAAACATAGTGGCATGACTTATAGTCCCAGCTACTCAGGAGGCTGAGATGGGAGGATCTCTTGAGCCCAGGAGTTCAAGATTATAGTGAGCTATGATTGGACCACTGCACCTGGGCCTGGGTGAAGAGGGAGACTCTGTCTCTAAAATAAATAAATGAACACACAAACTCAATTGTCATAAACTCAACTGTATGTATGTATGTATGTATGTATATATGCATGTATGTATCGACTCATGGATTGTTGATGGCACTCATGTTCCTAGTATCCTTTATCTATCTAAAAGCAGAGCAGAGCCCTCCAAAAAAACCTCATTTGTCATAAATCTCCTCCCCTGGGGCAACTTAATCTCTTCTAGGATCACACCCAAACAGATATTGTTACAAAACTATCGCATCTCCTGTCTTTTCTCCTAAGGACCACCTTAATTTTCTAAAAAGTCACAAGTGCCCTTTCTTCTGCCCCCATTCTAAGAAGTCATTTGACCTACAAAATGTGCCCTTGTGTCCCTCTCCATCCCCATCTCCTATTGAGATGATATATAAACCACCCACCTTAAGTCACATTTTTTTTTGCAAACTCCTATATGTACATATGTAATTAAATCTGATTTTTTGTCCTCTTGCTAATCTGCCTTTCATCAGTTTAAATTGCAGCCCTCTCCCCAAAGAATTTGAGAGGAGAGAAAATTATTCCTCCCCAATGGTAGTTACTAAAGAGTCTACTCTATTCAACATCACCATATGCTTACCCACTACAAACATTTAGACAAAAACTTAACAAGACATATTAGATCTACATCCATAAAACCACTTACAAACTTTTTTTTTTTTTTTTTTTGAGACTGGGTCTCACTCTGTCACTCAGGTTGGAGTGCAGTGGTGAGATCTGGGCTCACTGCAACCTCTGCCTCCCAGGCTCAAGCAATCCTCCCACCTCAGCCTCCCAAGTAGCTGGGACCACAGGCGTGTGCCACCAGGCCCAGCTAATTTTTTTGTATTTTTTTGGTAGAGACATGGTTTCACCATGTTGCCCAGGCTGTTCTTGAACTTCTGAGCTCAAGCGATCCACCCACCTTGGCCTCCCAAAGTGCTGGGATTATAGGTGTGAGCCACTGCATCCAGACCTATTTCACTTTCTGTATCTTTTATAGCCTTTCAACAGCAGAAGTTCCACTTGAGTTTTACATAAATTCTAACTCCCTGTTGAGATTCTCTATTTGTTGAGTTATTGCTATAACCCTTTCCTTTAACTCTTTATACACAGTTCATTTAGTTCTTAGAACATATTTATAATAGCTGCTTTAAAATCCTTATCTGTAAAAATTTAACATCTGGAGATAATCAGGTATGATTTCTTTCTTTTTTTTTCTTTTTTTTTTTTGACCTCTGAACTTTTTATTGGCCTCCTGCTCCCCAAAGGGTACCCTGCTTCTGCTGGCTTAATATCTCAGAACTTTGATGTTGTTGGTCTCAGACACCACTCTGCCATCCACTATCCTGCGGGAGGTGGTCTTCTGGATGGTTTGCCTGGAGTTGCTGCTGTCCAGGGCATCACCAAGACTGAAGTCCTCGTCATCTTCCAGCAGGTGACTGTAGGTGACGATCTCTGTCGCCAGCCTGACCTTGATGTTCAGCAGGGCCTCCTACTCCTGTCCCTCTGCCGGGTCTATTGCAGCTCTGACTCTAGGTGCAGCAGGATCCGGTTGAGCTGCTCCATCTGCAGTGTATAGCGGGCCTCCACCCCACTCAGGCTGTTCTCCAAGCTGGCCTTCAGATTTCTCATGGAGTCCAGGTCAATATCCAAGGACTGGACTGTACATCTCAGCTCCATGAGCATCAGCTCAGCAGCTCCAACCTCGGCAGACTGCATGGGGACCACTGTGGTGCTCTCCTCAATCTGCTGAGACCAGTACTTGTCCAGCTCCTCTTGGTTCTTCTGAGCCAGCTTGTCATACTGGGCCCAGATGTCTGCCATGATCTTGGTGAGATCCTGAGATTTGAGGGCATCTACCTCCACAATCAACCCAGAGCTGGCAATCTGTGCTTGTAGGCCTTTTACTTTCTCTTCGTGGTTTTTCTTCACGAAGAGCAGCCCCTCCTTGAGAGCCTCGATCTTTGTCTCCAGCTGCAGCCATTGACACTGGTGTCATCAGTGACCTTGCAGAGCCCATGGATGTCACTCTCCACAGACTAGGGCATGGCCAGCTCTGTCTCATACTTGACTCTGAAGTTATCAGCAGCAAGATGGGCATTGTTGCTCTGCAGAATGATGCAGGCATTGTCCACAGTATTTGGGAAGATCTGAACCCTCAGGTCCTCAATGGTCTTGAAGTAAATGGCTCCAGTCTCTGACCTGGGGTCCCTTCTTCTCCAGGTGCTCCCGGATTTTGCTCTCCAGCTTCTGGTTTCCAGTCTCCATACTCCTCACTCTGTCCAGTAGGAGGCCAGACAGTCATCCAGGCTTTGCATGGTCTCTTTCTCGTTCTGGATGCCTCCCAGTCCTGCCAGGCCCCCAGCCATCCACACAGCCAGGCCCCTGGACCCCATGCTGCCCCGGAAGCTGGTGGAGTGGGACCTGGAGATCCGGGAACCCGAGCCCCCGGTGCCTGCATAGATGCTGGCCACGCGGCTGACTGGCTGGGTGCCATAGCTGGGCACTTGGACAAAGCCCAGAGACCAGTAGTTGGTGGAGAACGTGGAGCTAGTGGTGAAGCTCATGCTGTCCAGAAGGGAGAGCAAGAGGACAGGACTCAGGCTTTGCCGAAGACCAATCAGGTATGATTTCTATTGTCTGCCTTTTTCTCACTGCTACAATTTCCTGTTTCTTGGCATGTGTCATAATTTTATATTTAAAAATAGACATTTTATATAATACAGTATAACATTACTCCGGATTCTATGAAATCTGTCTTCTTCCACAATCTGCAATTGCTGATTTCTCTGTTCAGTTTTATTATTTCTTTTATTCTTGCATTACTTTAAAGCCTGACTTTCAGGGTCTGGCCATGTTATCTATGTATCTTAGTGGGCAGCCAACTATTCAACAGAGGATTCACTCAAATACCCCAGGTCAACAAAAGTTGTTTTCCTTTGCCAAAGGATCTGCACATCTACCCAGATTTTTCTTCCCCCTCGACCCTTTTTCATGGCTCCTCTGCATATGCATGAAGCCTCAGCTAGCCATTATCTTAGGCTGAAAGAGCCGCTGGCTCTCAAAGCACACATGCCATCAAGACAGTAATTTCCGCAGACAGTGCTGGCAGGCATATGCAATAACTGCCACTCAGAGATGAGTGAAAATTTTCCAAGCACAGCAGGTAAGGTACTAGTCCTCAAAACCCTTCTCACCCTGGAATACCCTTTATAACCAACCAAACTTGGAAGAGAGAAAGTGTGGAGTGGGATGGGAGCAGCTGCAGGCATGAATGCCACAGATTCCCACTGCTGTTGTGCGAGATGAGCAGTTTCTCAAGCTTAAACACTTTTCAGATTATTATATGTTTTTGGTTGAGTTTCAGAGCACTGCAATAGTTGTTTTCACTTGTTTTGCAGATGGCATTAAATCTAAGTCACAAACTCTTTTTTTTTTTTTTTTTTTGAGACAGAGTCTCACTGTCACCCAGGCTGGAGTACAGTGATGCACCACAACCTCTGCCTCCCGGGTGGTTCAAGCAATTCTCGTGCCTCAGCCTTCCGAGTAGTTAGGATTACAGGCACATGCCACCACACTGGGCTAATTTTTGTACTTTTCGTAGAGACAGGGTTTCGCCTTGTTGGCAAGGCTGGTCTCGATCTCCTGACCTCAAGTGATCTGCCTGCCTCAGCCTCCCAAAGTGCTGGGATTATAGGCGTGAGCCACCATGCCCAGCCCACAAACTCTTAGCATTCTTAAATGTATTTATTTCAGTTTCTCTTTCACTACTATATTATAACCTACTCTGGCATTCCTTGTCATCTGCTGCAATATTTCTCATTCCTTAAGATCTAACCTATGCTGCTCCTTCTCCATAAGGCTTTTTCTCATTAATTCATGCACATTGATCTCTCCCTTCTCTGAATTCCTGTCATACATCATTATTTCATAATTATTTTGCATGTGTTGTACTTTTTCTTTTCAGCCACATTCCTAAGTCTCTGGGGAAAGAAATTAGGCTTTCATGATTTTGTATCCTTATCTTATACCTGGCAAAGTGCTGAGTATACAGTAAATTCTCAAAGGCTGTATGTCTTCTTCAATCCAAAAATTTACACTTGAAGAAATTTGTCTTATAGCCTATGAGGTCAAACTCTACCATTAGGAAACAATAATCAAGACTCCAAGACCTAACCATGTTATATTATTAACACGTTCTTCCCTTCTCCAATGCCACATGATCTGAAGTGCACACTATTTACTGAAAGCATGGGGCAGAGACTGCTAGTAGCCAACCTAATATCCATTTTGATCATTTTCCTTACTAACAAAACCATAATCATTCCTAGCTTTCCTTGCAGCCAGAAGTTCAATTAGAGGGAATGCACTAACTGGAAAGATATTTGTATCTGTTCACAGTATTGTGGTAAGAAACAAAAAAGAAAATTCATGCAACACCTTTAGAACAGTATCAGGCACATGCTATAGCATCAATAAATGTCATTTACTGTTAGAAACCTTAACTATGTTTTACTTCCTTCTTCTTCTCTCCTATGAGAGCTTAGTCTTATGGTTACAAAGGTTTTATAACATCAAAGTTCTCCGTCTGGAATAATACAAATTTGTAATAGGTGATGCAAAGAATTTTTAAAATTTCCTTACCCAGAAGATCCAATGCTCTTACAAACACCAAGGAGGGGTCTTTTTTCAGCAAAGTTATCACATTTTTGAGCACCTGACAGGGAGGATAAAATAAATTGTAAGCTTTGAGGAATATTATTGTATAATTCCCACTATTTTCATGCTTTCAAAATACTTGAGAAGGAGAAGTATTCATTAAAAGTTGATGTAATTTATACAATTGAATAAAAAGAAGAAAAGTTACTATATAAAATCATTATATATTATATATATGTACTCATTTTAAAAATTGAACCAGCAAATTTTTTTTTTTTTTTTGAGACAGAGTCTCACTCTGTCACCCAGGCTGGAGTGCAATGGCATGATCTCAGCTCACTGCAACCTCTGCCTCCTGGGTTCAAATGATTCTCCTGCCTCAGCCTTCTGAGCAGTTGGGACTACAGTCACGTACCACCATGCCTGGCTAATTTTTGTATTTTTAGTAGAGACACGGTTTCACCATGTTGGCCAGCCTGGTCTCATACTCCTGACCTCAGGTGATCCACCCGCCTCAACCTCCCAAAGTGCTACAATTACAGGCATAAGCCACCATAGCCTGCCTGAATCAGCAATTTTTTAATGTTTTATTGGCACCAATTTCAATCTTATACACCTTCCCCATGAGATCAGAAAACCATCCCATACCCCACCAACTATTTACATAAAACTAGTATAATATTGATGTTCAAACTAAATAAAGGTAGTTCAAGACAAGAAAATTATAAAATTATAGGTCATTCCCATTGATACACATAGTTGCAAAAATCCTAAACAAAATATCAGCAAACTAAATAGCAACATATATGAAAAAAATAAATTCTCATAACCGAATTAGATTTACCCAAGCAACAGTAATAGTTTGGCATTATAAAATATATTAACGTAATTAATCATGTTAATATTTCAGCAGACGCAGAAAAAGCATTCAATTAGACTCTATACCTAATCATAAGAATAAAAAATATAACAAAAATACCTTTTTTAACCTAATAATGATCATCTACAAAAGATCTACAGCAAATGTCACAGGTAATGGTTCAGAGTTTTCCTAGTAACAGCAGTAACAACACAAGAATATCCATAGTTGCAGCTCCCATCAAGTCCTAAGTCCACATAATAATAATAATAAGTGAACCCAACAATATTACAGGATACAAGACCAATATAATACGAACAAGAAGCAAAAAAAGTAAAGTCAGGAAATATAAATGGTTCTGAATCATACGAAAAGGTGCTCTGTGTCTGCTCACGCCTGTACTCCCAACACTTTGGGAGGCTGAGGCAGAAGGATCACTTGAGACAGGGCAAAACTCTGTATCTACAAAAAATAAAAACAAAAAATTAGTTGGGTATGGTGGCACACACCTGTAGCCCTAGCTACTCAGGAGGCTGAAGTAAGAGGACCTTACTACGATTGTGCCACTGCATTCCAGCCTGGATGACAGAGCAAGAATCTGTCTCATAAAAAAAAAAAAAAAAAAAGATAAAGAAGTTTAATGTTCAACCTCACACATGACAGAGGTTCCTTAAAACTATATTGATAATGAAAACTATAATGATGATATTGATAATGATAATGATATAATGATAACTATATTGATAATGATAAGGAGTTGAGGACAAATCACCCCAAAATATGCCTCTTTGGCATATTGATTATTTTGAGCTAAAGGCATTTGAAAAACAGTAGATGGGGGGCGGAGCAAGATGGCCGAATAGGAGCAGCTCCAGTCTCCAACTCCCAGCGCGAGCGACACAGAAGACCAGTGATTTCTGCATTTTCAACTGAGGTACTGGGTTCATCTCACTGGGGAGTGCCGGACGATCGGTGCTGGTCAGCTGCTGCAGCCCGACCAGCAAGAGCTGAAGCAGGGCGAGGCATTGCCTCACCTGGGAAGTGCAAGGGGGAAGGGAGTCCCTTTTCCTAGCCAGGGGAACGGAGACACACAACACCTGGAAAATCGGGTAACTCCCACCCCAATACTGCGCTTTAAGCAAACAGGCACACCAGGAGATCATATCCCACACCTGGCCGGGAGGGTCCCACACCCACGGAGCCTCCCTCATTGCTAGCGCAGCAGTCTGTGATCTACCGGCAAGGCAGCAGCGAGGCTGGGGGAGGGGCGCCCGCCATTGCTGAGGCTTAAGTAGGTAAACAAAGCTGCTGGGAAGCTCGAACTGGGTGGAGCTCACAGCAGCTCAAGGAAACCTGCCTGTCTCTGTAGACTCCACCTCTGGGGACAGGGCACAGTAAACTAAACAAACGCAGCAGACACCTCTGCAGACGCAAACGACTCTGTCTGACAGCTTTGAAGAGAGCAGTGGATCTCCCAACACGGAGGTTGAGATCTGAGAAGGGACAGACTCCCTGCTCAAGTGGGTCCCTGACCCCTGAGTAGCCTAACTGGGAGACATCCCCCACTAGGGGCAGTCTGACACCCCACACCTCACAGGGAGGAGTACACCCCTGAGAGGAAGCTTCCAAAGCAAGAATCAGACAGGTACACTCGCTGTTCAGAAATATTCTATCTTCTGCAGCCTCTGCTGCTGATACCCAGGCAAACAGGGTCTGGAGTGGACCTCAAGCAAACTCCAACAGACCTACAGCTGAGGGTCCTGACTGTTAGAAGGAAAACTATCAAACAGGAAGGACACCTACACCAAAACCCCATCAGTACATCACCATCATCAAAGACCAGAGGCAGATAAAACCACAAAGATGGGGAAAAAGCAGGGCAGAAAAGCTGGAAATTCAAAAAATAAGAGCGCATCTCCCCCGGCAAAGGAGCGCAGCTCATCGCCAGCAACGGATCAAAGCTGGATGGAGAATGACTTTGACGAGATGAGAGAAGAAGGCTTCAGTCCATCAAATTTCTCAGAGCTAAAGGAGGAATTACGTACCCAGCGCAAAGAAACTAAAAATCTTGAAAAAAAAGTGGAAGAATTGATGGCTAGAGTAATTAATGCAGAGAAGGTCCTAAACGAAATGAAAGAGATGAAAACCATGACACGAGAAATACGTGACAAATGCACAAGCTTCAGTAACCGACTCGATCAACTGGAAGAAAGAGTATCAGCGATTGAGGATCAAATGAATGAAATGAAGCGAGAAGAGAAACCAAAAGAAAAAAGAAGAAAAAGAAATGAACAAAGCCTGCAAGAAGTATGGGATTATGTAAAAAGACCAAATCTACGTCTGATTGGGGTGCCTGAAAGTGAGGGGGAAAATGGAACCAAGTTGGAAAACACTCTTCAGGATATCATCCAGGAGAACTTCCCCAACCTAGTAGGGCAGGCCAACATTCAAATCCAGGAAATACAGAGAACGCCACAAAGATACTCCTCGAGAAGAGCAACTCCAAGACACATAATTGCCAGATTCACCAAAGTTGAAATGAAGGAAAAAATCTTAAGGGCAGCCAGAGAGAAAGGTCGGGTTACCCACAAAGGGAAGCCCATCAGACTAACAGCAGATCTCTCAGCAGAAACTCTACAAGCCAGAAGAGAGTGGGGGCCAATATTCAACATTCTTAAAGAAAAGAATTTTAAACCCAGAATTTCATATCCAGCCAAACTAAGTTTCATAAGTGAAGGAGAAATAAAATCCTTTACAGATAAGCAAATGCTTAGAGATTTTGTCACCACTAGGCCTGCCTTACAAGAGACCCTGAAGGAAGCACTAAACATGGAAAGGAACAACCGGTACCAGCCATTGCAAAAACATGCCAAAATGTAAAGACCATCGAGGCTAGGAAGAAACTGCATCAACTAACGAGCAAAATAACCAGTTAATATCATAATGGCAGGATCAAGTTCACACATAACAATCTTAACCTTAAATGTAAATGGACTAAATGCTCCAATTAAAAGACACAGACTGGCAAACTGGATAAAGAGTCAAGACCCATCAGTCTGCTGTATTCAGGAGACCCATCTCACACGCAGAGACATACATAGGCTCAAAATAAAGGGATGGAGGAAGATTTACCAAGCAAATGGAGAACAAAAAAAAGCAGGGGTTGCAATACTAGTCTCTGATAAAACAGACTTTAAACCATCAAAGATCAAAAGAGACAAAGAAGGCCATTACATAATGGTAAAGGGATCAATTCAACAGGAAGAGCTAACTATCCTAAATATATATGCACCCAATACAGGAGCACCCAGATTCATAAAGCAAGTCCTTAGAGACTTACAAAGAGACTTAGACTCCCATACAATAATAATGGGAGACTTCAACACTCCACTGTCAACATTAGACAGATCAACGAGACAGAAAGTTAACAAGGATATCCAGGAATTGAACTCATCTCTGCAGCAAGCAGACCTAATAGACATCTATAGAACTCTCCACCCCAAATCAACAGAATATACATTCTTCTCAGCACCACATCATACTTACTCCAAAATTGACCACGTAATTGGAAGTAAAGCACTCCTCAGCAAATGTACAAGAACAGAAATTATAACAAACTGTCTCTCAGACCACAGTGCAATCAAACTAGAACTCAGGACTAAGAAACTCAATCAAAACCGCTCAACTACATGGAAACTGAACAACCTGCTCCTGAATGACTACTGGGTACATAACGAAATGAAGGCAGAAATAAAGATGTTCTTTGAAACCAATGAGAACAAAGATACAACATACCAGAATCTCTGGGACACATTTAAAGCAGTGTGTAGAGGGAAATTTATAGCACTAAATGCCCACAAGAGAAAGCAGGAAAGATCTAAAATTGACACTCTAACATCGCAATTAAAAGAACTAGAGAAGCAAGAGCAAACACATTCGAAAGCTAGCAGAAGGCAAGAAATAACTAAGATCAGAGCAGAACTGAAGGAGATAGAGACACAAAAAACCCTCCAAAAAATCAATGAATCCAGGAGTTGGTTTTTTGAAAAGATCAACAAAATTGACAGACCACTAGCCAGACTAATAAAGAAGAAAAGAGAGAAGAATCAAATCGACGCAATTAAAAATGATAAAGGGGATATCACCACCGACCCCACAGAAATACAAACTACCATCAGAGAATACTATAAACACCTCTA